TCGACACAGGGAAGACAGGGAGGAGCAGGCGAGGGTGAGAGGGGAGGGAGAACCCTGGGAAGACCAGAGACAAGGTACCGGGAGTGCACGCCACGAAGGCGCTGCACTGAGGGGTGACCAAGGCGGTGGTGCCAGAGGATGGTCTGGTGCGACAAGGTGCGATACGAGCAGGGGGCGGACAACTGACCTGACGCAGACGCAGACGCCGCTACCTGAGGGGACTCAATGGTCAGTGTGTACAAGTCCGACCCCGGCTGCCGAGTGAAGGTAGCCAGGTGATGACTCGTCTGGGCACACGTGCAGTGTGTCACACGCTCGTAGGCAGGGGTGATCTGGTGAACACCCACGTCCTGGAGCGCAGAACCCGCCACCAGGTTCGTAGAGAACGAGGGGAGGTAAAGGCCCGACAGTGTGCCGGACGGGACAGCAGGACAAGGGAGGGCAGTGGTGGAGGTCGCAAGGACCGGACCCCCGGAGGGGTCAGCCAGGGAGACAGCAACCGGTCTAGGGAGCTGCTCGAGGGCAGTGCGGTCGCGAAAGAAACAGCGGGAAGCACCTGAGTCCAGTGTGAAGGTGTGCAGTGCCTCAGTAGACGTAGTACCTGAAGGCGCAGACTCACAACCACCTGAAGCAGCAGACACACGAGCGCCTACAGCAGCAGCCTCACCTGCACCTGGAGCAGCAGACTGGATACCGGGGTCAGGGGGCACACACAGGTGACGGGCTCCCTCAGCACTAGTAGACAACGCATACATTGCAGTGAGAATAGCATCATAGTCAAGACCAAAGATATCTACCCTCTGCCTAAGCAACTCCACCCAGTTGGGGAGCTCAGCGTCGTCGCCAAACTCTGTACGCCAAGCGTCGCTCAGACTGGCGAAGCAGCGAGACTCTGTGTGACCAGGCGTCCCGCAAGGCTGACCAGTCCGGACACCCGTGCTAACAACGTACGGGCAGCGAGCAGTACTCAGCGACCCTCTACTCTGAGCGTACCACTCACGAAGCTGCTGGGGCGAACGAGTCTCGCGCAGACAACGCTGCTGCTGCACCGGGCCACTACAAGAAACTCACGAACTACCCACTCCAGGACGACTCCCACTACTGCCACCCCGACAACCCCAACTGACGTACCACTCACGAAGCTGCTGGGGCGTGAGGGACACACGCGGACGGCCCTGGAGCTGCATCTGGCCACGCCAGGAGCAGCAGTAGAAGCAGTAGCAGCAGGAGCAGCAGTAGCAGCAGCAGCAGCAATAACAGCAGTAGCAGCACGGGCAGGGCAGTGCTCACCAGTGTTGGGAAGGGCAGGCGTACGACGAAGGCGAATGCGGGGCCGCTACAACGGCAGGGCGGGGCCGCGACCGCGGCAGGGAGCTCCGGGGCAGTTGCTGCAGGGCGGGACAGGGCCGTGACGGCAGCTGCTGCAGGGGCGGCTGCTCCAGGGGCCAGGGGCGGCTGGTGCAGTGGCGGCTGCTCCAGGGGCAACTGCTCCAGGGGCGGCTGCTCCAGAGGCCAGGGGCGGCTCCTGCAGTGGCGGCTGCTCCAGTGGCCAGGGGCGGCTGCTGCAGGGGCGGCCGCTCCAGGGGCCAGGGGCGGCTGCAGGTGCGGCTGCTCCAAGGGCCAGGGAGGCTGCTGCAGTGGCGGCTGCTCCAGGGGCGGCTGCTCCAAGGGCCAGGCACGGGGTAGGGCAGGGTGACGCGGCAGGCAGGGGCGACGTCGCGGGCAGGGGCGACGCGGCGGGCAGGGCGACGCCGCGGGCAGGGGCCGACGCGGCGGGCAGGGCGACGCGGCGGGCAGTGCGACGCGGCGGGCAGGGGGCGACGACGCGTCAGCAGCTGGGCGTGGCCGCGTCAGTAGCAGGGCGCGGCCGCGTCAGTAGCAGGGCGCGGCCGCGTGAGTAGAAGGGCGCGGCCGCGTCAGCAGAAGGGCGCGGCCGCGTCAGCTGCAGGGCTGGCGGGGCCGCGTCACGGGAGGGCGGGGCCGCGTCCGCGTCGGCGGCAGGGCGGGGCCGCGACCGCTGCAGGGTGGGGCCGCGTCAGCGACAAGGCGAGGCCGCGACTGCGGCATGACGGGGCCGCGACAGCGACCTGACGGGGTCGCGCGCTGGCCTGACGGGCCTGCAGAGGCTGCGTGCGGGCGGCGAGGGCCTGCAGGGGCGGCGCGCGGTTGGGCAGAGGCTGCGCGCGGGCGGCGAGGGCCTGCAGGGGCGGCTCGGGGGCTTGACGGGCCTGCAGAGGCGGCTCGGGGGCCTGACGTGCCTGCAGGGGCGGCTCGAGGGCCTTACTAGCCTGCAGGGGCTACCCCATAGTAACTACCCCACTACAGCCTAAACAAACTGTAGTGGATATGACATTTGACAGACGCCTATTCGAAACTTGTTCCCTGGGTTTCCCGCAGGCTTCAATGACGCAGACCCAGTCTTCCCTTGAACCTCCCGTAGAGGTGAGCACTATAGTAGGGACTTTTAGAATCTCTCGCAACAATGTTGTTGCTTTCAGGGAGGCAGCTGCAAGGTGGGAGATACGGCGTAAGGTTAGTAAGGGAAACCGCTAAAAGGTAGCATGCAGAAAGACAGAGAGTTGCGAGCCAAAAAGAGAGCGAGGTCACCCCGATACCATTGATCTGATGAACCTTCCTACCGTAACTGTCAGGTTCCTTTGCTGTTGTTCACTTCCCTCTCCGTAACGTATGCGTTATGAAACTGTGTCATATGATGTCCCTTGCAGAGATTACAGGAGAGCGACGAGTACTGCACCAGCAGCTTCTTGGTGTTGTTCGACGAGTCTGTAACAGCGTGACGCCAGAGATCAGTGTCACCCACATGTGGAATCACCAACCCCTTCACTTTGTCCGTGTCCATGCCTGTAACAGGATCCTGAACCCTGTGAAAGCCAAAACCACTCTTGAAAGCACTCCTTCCACGACTTCAACGGGCATTTTGCGAATCAATGTCGGCGAAACCCTAGCCGGGACCATCTTAAAGGCGAGATGCAACTTCTTAGGAACAGTAGCAGGACAAATATCAAGTGTGTGTAACGGGACCCTTATTGGACGAAAAAATTGGAATCTCGCACAAGACAAACCTCTCTCCACTGAACTGCCTGGGACTACCACCTTTCAAGCTATAATACACTGAAGTTGAAGCTGATAGTTGGGCCACGGCTTTAAGGACGACTTCAACCGATGAAAATTATATTACTGGTTGGTGTAGACTCGCATCATTTTCAAAGGAAATTCAAGCGACACTCCGTCAAGACGCGTCCTTGCCGTGACCACCTGAGCTGTGCTACGAGATACCAGTAACGACAAGAACTACCTGAGACACCAACAGACATCCTTACGACAGCCAACCGCTGGTTTTTTGTCACATCATCGGGAGTTCAGCAAAAACGTTCGGGCAAGCACCCTGGGCGTGATTTTGATGCGCGTTCTAACGGAGCCTCGAAACTGCACAATATTTACGACGTGTTGCGACCCAAAGAGGTCGGGTCGACCAGATCGTATTTCTCATTTCTAGGAAGGCTGCGTTGCGGATCTAGCCAACCAGCTCGACCCAACCACATGGGGTTGGGTCTGCCCGATCTGGGTCGACCTGGTCGGGCCAACCAGATCGACCCGACCAGCTCAACAAGATTGAGAAGAGTTACCTTAGCTAGCGAATTTTAAAATCTCGCTAAAAGCTTGCATTGTATTCGTGTACGAATTGGAAATCCAGCGAGGCTAGTTTCGGAGTAACCGTTAGTTCAGCGAGTTTCTGACTCTCGTCACAGCTCGCCTACTCTGCAGGGAAGCTAGAAACAAATAGCGCTGATGTGCCAAAATTTCTCAGAAATTCCTTGAGGCCCCGAGCCGCGACGGTCAACTCGACCAGGTCAGCCCAACCCAACCCCACCTTGTTGGGTCGCAACACGTCGTTAGAAAAAAAAAACGGATTTGTGGGCAGGGCCTTTCAGTGACCCCGCACTGTTGCTGCTAGGTCACAAGCCTGGGAAGACTAGTTTGCCGAGGAGCAATTGGCACCCGAAGGACTGGGTGGTCGGGGAGAGGACAGTGGTTGTTCGAAATGAATAGCCATTCATGCGAGTTGAGAACTTTATCGTTCGCACGGCAACTGCCGTGTCTCCGTAACTGTGTGATCACCGCCATTCGTCGGTCGCAGCGCAGCTTCGATGGGTTGCAAGCAGTGATGCAGTGTCGAACACAGTCCTGTTCTGAGTTGAATGAGGAGGGTGTACTATACAGTACACCCATTTTCTCAACCTTCTCACCTTGCGCGACTCGGCGCTGCAGTCCTTGTCTCATGCGATCTGGTGCCATTAAACGTTCCTAGCAACCTGGGGGGAAAAGCCGAACCACGTAACAACTGGCTCATGGGCGTAAAATTTTCGTTATCGCTGTATACCCTTCTCAACCTAATGAAAACGTTGACAAAGCTGATTTAAAAGTGCATCTCCTCACCGAACCGCACTCATCGCAATGTGCTGGTACAGTAGGTGACAAGACTGTTCTGAACGTGGTGACGTTCTACCACCCGTGTACGTTCTGCAACCATATGCTCTACTAGCGCGAAAGAGGGTGTACATGCGAGTTCACTGATGGATGGCATTCCCTTCGCATTCCTTGGTCCCTGAAAAAAACAATCAAAGGGATGCGTTCCGCACCTGTCTTCTGCCTCACTGAGCCCCAAGCGACTGAATCCTGGATCTAGGACCCTAATCAGTTCAGTCATCCACATAGGTATGGCGGCAAGTGCCAACTGCGCACTAGCTTCCCTTGGAGTGTACACTATCTTGTTTACACAAAACTGATCTGCATAGTTACGCTGCGCTTCGTGGCAAGTTTTCACGTGCAGTCGTTAGTGCTGAATGCGCCCCTCAGGATCATAGAACGACAGCCAACGATACAACGCCTAGTAATTTCGCCCTACCACTCTGCCAGGATCATCGCGACCCAGTCAACTCCCGCGAAATTCAATCGCACGCGTAAATCGCGCCAGCGTGATGACCCCCTCGTTCGACGCACAATGTCCCAATCCAGTATCGGCGAACCGCCGCGCGCCCGGCATAGCGGCGCTGGTTGTTGCCCTACTCCTAACTTCCGCTCTCCCGGCGCCCGTCACTAGCATGATCGGCTCCTCCCAAGGTGCGTCGCTGCAACGTGGGTCCCACCCTATGCGTGACGCGGCCAACGGTGACGGTCGGCTAATAAATTACCGTAACCTCCGCGCAGTTCTGTTCGTGATTCCACGAGGTACTCTTCCTCCGCATGTCGGACCCGAGGCGACGGTGCGAGGCGGGTGGTACGCCACTTAGAGCGCTGGCGGAATGCTGCTTGCTATCAGCTCGAGCAATCTTATCCGCGAAATGCTGCTTTCATGTTTGCCTTCCCTCTCTTCTCCCGGACCCCCTGTTCCCCACATCCCTTTTTCCCCGGCTTGCCCCCGCAGAGGGAGAAGGCGTGCAGTCTTCGTCGGTCTACATCGTCACTCTGCGCTCCGCACAGCCCGTGCTCTCCTACCAAGGAGGCATCGCCGGAATCCCCGCCACTGCGCCCCGCGCGCAGTCTGGCGCGGTCAAGGCAGCGCTCAACGGCATGCGCAACTTCTTCCGCCGTCACCACCTGCTCCCGCGCCCGCAGCTGCGGACGCGCGCGGCAAAGCAGCTTGAAGTGTATCTGCGAAAGCAGCAGCGCTACATCGCGGAGACTGTGGGGGTTCCGCAAAAGAACATCCTGCACAGGTACCAATGCGTGCGCGGTATTACACGTGCTAACAGTCACCCGTGCCTGCACAGCCGTCGTCTTCCGCCCTTTCCGTCGTACTCCTCAATGGTGACGCCCCTTTTGTATCAGCTCACTTGGTTGTATGTGTCTCGCCGTCGCCTGTTCTTCCCCTCATCCCCTCACCCCCCATCTCCGGGCCCTCCTTCCTCCGCCGCCCCTTCTTCCCCCGTCCCCATCCCTTTTCCTCCCAATCCATTCCCCCCTCCCTCCTCCTTCCCCACCCCCCCCGTCTGGCCCCCCTTAGTCACCCCTTCTTCCCCCCCTTTCCCCCTGTATCAGCTATCAGTATCTACGCCACGGCTTCGCGGCGCGTCTTTCCCCCGCACAAGTGCGGCGACTGCAGCGCCACCCCGCCGTGGGGCGAGTGCGCGCGAGCGTGCGGCTCTACCCCGCCACCACGCACTCGCCCGCCTTCCTCAAACTCCCCTCCTCGCTCTGGAACGCGTCGGGAGGCGCACAAGGCGAGGGCGCGGGAGAGGGCGTGGTGATCGGCTTGATCGACAGCGGCATTTGGCCCGAACACCCGTCGTTCAACAACGTGAGTAGGCGGCGGCTGTTTTGTGACTGTCGCGCGACCGACCGGCTTGACGTGATCCTTCCCCGCGCAACATTCCCGCTTCCCGGATACCTCCCGCTGCCCGTTGCGGCATTTCCCCCCTAATACAGTCCGCGCCCCCCTTCTCTTTTCTTTTCCCTCTTCCCGCTCCCTCCCTTCGGCCTCCGCCGCTCGCAGCCTTCTAAGACGTTTGGCGCGCCGCCGCCAAAGTGGGCGGGGAAGTGCGAGGACACGGGCGACTTCGAGGCGGCGAAGGCGTGCGGCGGGAAGATTGTGGGCGCGCGGTCATTCTGGGACGCGGTGGTGGGAAGCGACGGGGAGATCGACCAGACGACGGACTTCATGTCCCCGCGCGACTCCAAAGGGCACGGCTCCTGGTGCGCCGGGTAAGGCGCGCGCAGAGGGGGGTGGGGGAAACGGGAGGGTGGAAGGGAGAGGAGAGACGGGCGGGTGATGTATGTGCAGGGGTGGCGCGCGCGGAAGGGTGTGGGTGCGGGGCTGTTGAAAAGGGACGATGAGAATTAACACCGTGGAGAGGAGTGAGCACGACAGGGCGCGGGTCCCTTTTCTAAGTGCGTCCCGCTCTCCTGGTTGGAACTCCCCTCCACCTTCGTGCCTCCCACCCCCATCTCCCGCACACCAGAGCGGCGGCCGGCAACGGCGGCGTGCAGGTGACCGCGTCTAACGGGCAGGACCTCGGCTTAGCGAGCGGCATGGCGCCGCGCGCGCGTCTCGCGGTGTACAAGGTGCTGTGGCGGCTGTCGGGCGGCGAGGAGGTGGCGGCGCTGGCGGACGTGCAGGCGGCGGTGGAGCAGGCGGTGTTGGACGGCGTGGATGTGATCTCCATCTCGCTCGCGGGGATCTACGAGAACAGCGATTACTTCGATGACGTGGACTACTTGAACGCGATCAAGGTGCAGCGCGGTTCTGCTCGGTGCTCTTCTCCTTGACCAACCGCTCACTGTTTCGGCTCAACGCTCCCCATTACTCCGTCGCTCCATCACGTTCCTCCACACCTCGCTACTCGCCATCCTCATGTCCCAAAGTCGCTCACACCACCCCCATCTCTTTTCCGCTTGCGTCCCCCTCTCGGCGTGACCCAATCCCCCAGGCGGGCGTGGTGATTGTGGTGGCGGCGGGCAATGCGGGCCGGCCGCCCAGCGCGTGGAGCTACCGCACGCTCAGCAACTTCTCGCCCTACTACCTCACCGTGGGGGCAAGGTGCGTCCGCTGGGGGTGGGTGCGCTGCGGGAATCATCCTGGGGATGGAAACGTGCGCCGTTGCTGTTCGATGGTCCTACTTCTGGCCTTACTCCTCCACGGTTCCAACCATTGTCCGTGCTTCTCCTCGCTCCCACATCTCGTCACCATCCTTCTCTCCGTCACCATTTCCCCTCTCCCTTCCGCCGTAGACCATCCCTTCCCCTCACTCCTTGCCCTCCGCTCATTCCTCTCTCCGCATTCCCTCCTACCCCCGCATTCTTGCATCCCCGCATCCCCGCATCCCCCCACCGCAGCTCCATAGGGCGGCGCTACACCACGGCGCTCACCCTCAGCAACGGCTTCACAGTGTTGGGGGCGGGCATGGGCGGCAACAAGGACACGGCGGACGGCGCGCCCATCATTCTGGGCCGCAAGGGGCTGCTGGCAAACCATGACAACATCGAGGTGCGCTTGCCTTGCTCTCGTGTGTACTGTGGTACTCCCCAAGCCACATCTCATTCTCGCGTTCATTCGATTCTGTACGCTCCTTCTCTTCCCAGCGTTCCCACCAGTCCCAGGCACTCGTTCCATGCGCTCACCCCCCTCCCACCCCTCCTCACCGGCGTCCCCCATCCTTGTCCACCCGTCCTGCACTCCCCTCCCTCTCCATCCCTTGCCAGGGCGACTACTGCTACCCGTCGTCACTGGACGCGAGCAAGGTAGCGGGCAAGATGGTAATCTGCATCAACGGCAAGTCGTGGGTGCGGGAGAAGGTGAAGGAGGTGGTGGGCGCGGGCGGAGTGGCCATGGTGCTGGTGAACGATGAGCAGGGCGAGCCGTACGTGCGCGACAACTACGACTCGCCCATCCCCGTGCTGCACCTCACTGCCGCTGATGGGGCCAGGCTGCGGAGGGCCATGAAGCCACTCAGAAAGTGAGTTGGCGAGACGACAACGACCTCTATGCCCTTCCCTCTTCGTTGCCCACTTCCATTCCCTCTGCTGGCCTGTGCGCACTGCATTCCCGCCGTCCGCGTGTCCTTCCCTCTCCGTTGCTCCATCTGTCTGCCTGCCCCGATATTTTATTTTGCACACATTCCAGCTCACTCCATCCCCCTGGCCCACCCCCACTTCCCCCCTTTCGATGTCAACTCTCGCCGCCCTCAATAGCTGCTCATCATCCCTGTCTTCTTCTCCCTCTCCCCTCAACCCATGCCTCCCCCCTGCCAGTCCCACTGCAGTGCTCCCTGAAACCTTCACCATCGCCACTCTTCCTGGAGCCCCTGTCATCGCTTCCTTTTCCTCCGCCGGCCCTGTGCAAGTCCCCTCCATAACCCCCTCGCACGCACTCCCCACCAACGACATCCTCAAACCGGACATCGTCGCGCCGGGGCTGAGCCTCTGGGCCGCAAGCATCGGCAGCATTGAGGACCCAGGGGTGGTGAGCTTCGGGCTAGCTTCGGGAACGTCCATGGCAACGCCGCACGCGGCGGGCGTGGCAGCGCTGGTGGTGCAGCGCAATCCGACGTGGAGTCCGGCGCAGGTGATGTCCGCCATGATGACCAGCGCCGCCACCACCAACGACCTCGGCAAGCCCATCGTTCTCGAGAATGGTGTGACCGCCACGCCATGGGAGATGGGCGCGGGGCAGCTCAACCCGCCCGGCCTGCTGGATCCCGGCCTGACCTACGACATGAGCACTCAGGACCTCCTGAATTTTCTGGCTGGGCAAAATGGAACGGCTGCGTTAAGATTGTTCAAGGAGTCCACATTCAATGCGACCCCCGCGTACAATCTCAACCGCCCGTCCATCTCTGTGTCTCGGCTTTTGGGGAGCGTGATGGTGTTTCGTTCCGTCACAAATGTTGCGGTCAGAGAGTCGACATACACTGCTCAGGTTACTGCTCCGCCGGGTGTGAAGGTTGTCGTGGTACCGCCTTCATTCACCATAGCGAAGGATCAGTCAGTTGTTTACAGTGTAACACTGACTGTAACACGGTCATCGTCGCGGTTCGTGTTTGGCAGCATCACGTGGGTTGATGAGTTGGGACACTCTGTGAGATCCGTGATTGCGGTTCAGCCACTCAAAGCTATGAGGAGAAAGTAGTGGCGCATTACGGTGTATCTCAATTACGAATTTGTTGGGTTACGTAAATAATTCTTTCTGTTGTAGTACCACATATGGGACAAGTCAGCAAACCTAGTGCATGTTGTATTCTTTATTGTGGTGAATGAGTTTCTTCTCAAAATACAATTGTATAGCATTAGTTTAGGGTGTATTCCTCTTGTGTAGACATATCTTCCATTTTGGTGTCACAACCCCGTTCTTCTCGAGCCGCGCCGAAATGTGTGCACTTCCTCGCGTCACTAAGTGCGTCCCTTGGCGATCGCTCGATTATCAAAACATACCGTATTTTTATGTTCTAAGTTTTGCTAGGCTACAGTGAGGTGCTCAGTACAGAGCACTACCCCACTATGGCCTACACACAACTAGCACAGATACCGTCATCACCCGGATATAAGACAGTGCTGAATAGTAGACAGGGGTTGTCTATTATACGAGTGTCTCTTATAAACAGGCTAGCCTCAATATAAGACACCTATTTGTGTGTACGAGATAAGACATGTGTCTTAGGGTACATTCCTGTGGGGACACTTGTGTCTCAATCCCCGTTTTCCCGAGTCTCGCCTGTAAATTTGCCAAATGTTGTGTCACAAACAACCAATGTATCGCGACCCTGCGCGACAGATGGGCACAGCCAGGTGGGTGCGTACTATTGGTTGCGACCAATAGGATTGTGCCCACCCAGTTTTCCCGCCGGGCAGGGGGGCTAAACATATCGCACCACCTCGAGTATCGCGGTGGGCTTGCCACAGAAATGAAAGTTGCAATTTGGGCCACCCCACACACAACAGCATGTATACAACCACGGCTCCAAGTACAAAAACGCAAGCATCACAGAGCTAAACTGCACCACTGTCTAGCAACCATGGCATCGCCCCGCGAGGTGCCATTCCTCATGCGCCTACTTGTCGCATGGGTTACGTTCTACTACAGCATATTCATGGACGCCATCGCCAAGTCGGTCGGTGGCTTACTGGAGGCGAACGTCTTCAATGACGAGGTGTCCTCGTCATCCAGCTCTCGCGCCTCCAACCGTACCGCAGAGCGGAAACGAAGGGCTGGGCTACGCCGGCGGAGATACCAGTTGCTGCTAGAGGACCTGGACGGCATAGGGGAGGATCAGTTCAGAGATATGTTTCGCATAAACCGTGGCATTCTCGAATACATTGTCGCCGGGATGACGCACTACATGCAACCGTACGTGGACAGGTACCTAATCAGTCATGAAGTGGCATGCCTTGTACCTATCAAATACCTCGCAAGTGGCATGTCTTTCGTAGACTTGTCCTCCGTGTTCGGGCTGTCCAAGTCCCTGTGCCACATGCTTGTTGACGCGCTCCTCATGCATTTCCCGTCCGTCTTCAAGCAGCAGTGGGTCCACTTCCCGACCCGCAACGACCTCGACGAGATGGCCACAGAGTTCCGCGCCATCAAGGGGGTACCTGCGGTAGTGGGGGCTATAGACGGCACACACATACCCATGAAGGGGATGGAGGGGCACAGGCAAGAGTACTACACGCGGAAGTCCTGTTACGCCGTCCAGTTGCAGATCACATGCAACGCGCGAGGCATCATATGGGACTATTTGATCGGATACCCGGGCAGTGCGCACGATCAGAGAGTGTTCATGAACAGCGCGTTACACGAAAGGTTGTACAACGGCGACATAGCGCCATACCAAATAGTGGGAGATGCTGCCTACCCACTCAGAGACTTCTGCCTGACCCCCCTACATGCTCCCCGTGAAGGCCTAATGGAGGACTGGGAGCAGTGCTTTAACTATTGCCAAAGCGCAACGCGCATGGCAGTAGAGCGCTGCATCGGCGCCTTCAAAGGCCGGTGGCGTCTATTCGCGGGCCGCAATGACTGCAAGCTCTGGCGCATTCTTGCAGGGGCGTCTTGTGGCGTCATCCTGCACAACATGTGCGAAATGATGGGCGCAGTAAGGCGCGTCAATGCATCGTGGGCAAACTTGCCCCGAAACCGGGACCCATGGTGGACTCGTGGCGCGGTAGCAGAGTTCATGTGGGAGCCATGTGACCCATGCACGCAAGAGAATCTTCGTGAAAGGCGCAAGCGGCTGGGCGAGGCTCTGGAGTCGTCTTACCTCACTCGGCGGCGCCGCGGACCCACACCTCCTCACCCGCATCTGGGTTAGAGGGGTCTTCGCCCGCCTGCCCGCGACGAAGCCAGCCGTCGTCGCCGCCTTCGGCGGCGTGCGAGTCGGTCATGTTGTCCGCGTGGGCAGGGATGTCGTCGCGGACATGCGGGGAGGGTGCGGGCTGCTGCACGCGTTCCCGAGCAATACGCGCGTCCTGATCCATCCACGCGCGGACGAGGCCTTTGAGCCTGCTCATGGCGTCTGAGTGGCAGCCTTTGATCGTCTCGCACACCAGCTTTGCAGCGGCCATCGTCGCCGTCTCTGCCACACGTGGGCGCTTCGATGTAGGAGTTCCCTGTGGCGGCGGAGCTGCACACACGGTGGATGCACACGAACAGTAGACGAGGTGTTATGTACCCTAAACATTTTAATGATGTAATGTGTGCGTAAAATGTTGTCACAAAATGTGTCATTCAACAAACCCGCGAGTGCCACCGTTGATGCAACACATACATACCAGTGAATGTCGGCGTAGAGGTGCAGGGCGCCGAAGTGGACGGGACCGCGTACCCGCACGGCACGTTGACGTGTGCCGCACCGCCACCGTCGACGGCGTGAGGGTTGCCCACCGCCTTGTTGTTCTGGAAAAGCGCCATGTACGGGTACCAGTGGGGCTTGCACACGGCACCCTTGCCGCTCGCCTTTTCCCCCTTCTTGATCTGCTTGCACATGTTCACAAGATTGCGCCACTGCTTCTGAAGCGCGTTTACACCGCGCACCCAACCGGGATTCTCCTTCTCGAGGTGACGCGCGAGGCGGGCCCAGTACTGAGAGCCCTGCTTCCCGAGGAGGGGCCCGAGCTCGTCCTTCATGAACCAACGCGCAGCCACGAAGATTGTGTTCTCGCGGGGGGACCACACGCTCCTCTTAACAGGATGCAAGTTACGGGTCTTGGCAGCGGCACGCGGAGGTTCCCCGCCCTTAGCAGCAGTCTTGGTTCCCGCAGCGGCAGACGCACGGCGGCGACGAGGAGCCGGGGACGCAGGCTGGGCCTCTTCGGGAGCGTCCTCGTCGTCATCGGCGTCCTCGTCGGCGTCAACTTCATCCTCGGAGGGGGACATGCCCTTGTCCTGCTCCTCGCCAGAGTCCGCGTCGTCTTCGCAGGCCTCGTCGCACTCGTTGTAATCAGAGTCCGCGGCGTCATCATCGTCATCGAAGGCAGCATCGTCGTTGATGCGGGATGAGGCAACCCGGTCGGCATGACGGCGTCCGCGGGTAGGGACATCGCGCGGGGCTTCGAACGAGGTGTCCCCCGCACCAGGCGCTCCTTCGGGCAAAGGGCCGGCGGGCTTGCGGCCGGCCGCGATTTGTTTGTTCATCCAAGCGATGTACGGGATCTCGTCGAGATCCCGCGGGCACAAGTCAACAGAACTAGCTACGCTCTTGCGCTTACGGGCCATGGCTACAGCGTGCCAAAGAAGACCCTAGCTAGACTTTGCAACAAGAAAGAGGAAGCTCGGGTTGGGAGAAGAAGAACAGATTGGAGCGGGAGAGTGCTGTCAGTGTGGTTGGAACGATGGGCAAACATTCGGGCAGGGATGTGACCGTGTGTGCTGAAGGACCAGTCATATGTCAGCCCGGGCAGAGCGGTTTCCATCCCCGCGCGGAAACGTGCCCAGTTCGGGCGTCCAGGTGCATGCTGTACAGTGTGAGATTTCGACACGCGTGCGATTTTCGGGATGTGACGGGGCCTCGTGTAACTCGTCCGCGACACAAGCGCAATTCACGCCAACCAATGTAAAATACAGTGGGACTCGCGTAAGCGCGATCCGCTTTTGTGACAGGGCACGGTATATGCTGTTTTTAGATGTCACAAAGTGATTGAGACACAAGTGTCCCCGCAGGAATGTACCCTTATAATCAAAACTGCAATATATTATAGTGAAAATTGAAGTACCGCGTACATTTTTACCCTTGCGACACGCGAATTCTGCCACGTGCTGACTGACGTACTACCAAATTTGCCTCTGCAAGTATTCTCCATGACGTGGCGCCCCGAACAATGGTTGCCGAAGTGGCACCTTCGCAACATCCACACGCATAATGAGAAACTCTTTTCAAGATGTGTGAAAATATTTTTAAGCTCATTATAAAAGTTTTCATTCATAAAACTTATAAGACACCCAAAACCTCCCCAAATACAAGATAACCCAAGCATTTTTTTTAGTGTATGAGATAAGACATATATGTCTTATATCCGGGTGATGACGGTATGGTTTGACACTACTTGTATCTCACTCTTGCATAGTTCATTCATTCTTGCACATTTCTCTCGACATGGTGTCAGAGCACGTTAACGGTTAGTTTTTTCTTAGGGCCCACCAAATCGATCCGCTCGAACCTGCCCGGAGAGTGCCCTTGCGCTACCCTGCCCTGCCCTTACAACGTCGCGGTGCCCTGTTGCCACGCGCGCTGCCTGCCTTAGCGCGCTGCTGTCAGAAACTAACGAGCAGGAATGATTGCATTGACATCAAACTGAGCACAAGTACTAACCCTAATCAGGTTGTACCTCATATAGGCTACCCCACTACAACCTACACAACATAAGCAACATTATAGTTTGACACACCCCCATAGGCAAAGTGGGGGAGAACAAGGGGTCACAAGACCAGTCAAGACAAGCAAAGCAAGCTCAGGGTGGATCACGAAGTCACCACACATTCTGAGCACAAGCAAGTGGCCAGAAGGCCAGTTCATATGCAGAGTTTTAGATCTGGGAACATGCAGTACAGTGATCACAACCTAGTAGGTACAAGCATGCAGGTACAAGTATATGGATCACAGTACAAGCAAAGTCACAAAGTGAGAGAGTGAGGCAAAGCAGACATAAGGCCCAACACAATACAGAAGCGATGATAATCACCAAGCGGAAGTGCCTGGGTGAATATATTGTCAAATTATATATGTGTAGGCTGTAGTGGGGTAGCCAATATGGGGTATAGCCCCTTTAGGGTTTCATATCTGTACCCAACCTTGTTTCTAGTCCACTCATTCCTGCTAGTTGTTTCTGACATGGTATTCAGAGCAGTAGGTCCGTAGGACCGATTTTTTTTTAGGGCCCACCTACCGTTGCGGTTACTGAGCT